ACTCCGCCCCCTCAGCCGGGCCCCTCCCCTTCAGGGAGCTCCCCTCTGGGGCCAGGTGCGAGGCGAGACCCCGTCGTTGCTCCCTCCCGGCAGGGTACGAGGGGCGACCCGCCCCGGGACCGGCCAGGTACGCGGGGCCCCCACGGGAAGGCCTCGAGCCCAGTGTGAGGGAGGCACCGTCCGGGTCTCTCCCTCTGCACTAGTTCTGCCGCTGGCCCGGCTCGCTGCCGGCAGAGGCTGCTCTGCATCCCGCAGGGGGTGTCCCAGCTCCCCCCTGCAGCTCCCCGGGGACATGGGCTGCTGGACCCCGCGCAGCTGGGACTGGTCACCTTCCCTTGAGGGCTGTTAAATGGCGTTGAACCAGCTAGTCAATGGAATTTTTATTCGTTAGTTGACATGGGGGGAGGGGGCAACTGCAGAGCCTGGCGGCTCTTGATACATTTTAAAAGCACAAGCGCAGTGGGGGAGCCCAGGCGAGAGCTGGGAATCCGCTGTCAGGGCTCGCTCCCAGTCTCTCACTGAGCCTCTGCCTCCCTTGCACACCTGCAAAGATGGTGTTGGGGAGGAACCCGCTTAAGCTGATCCCCCCTCCAGCACCGGCTCCTATTCCCCCACACTTTGCTGCCTCTCTGTTAGAGGCAGCAAGGGGGGAGAAGCAATTAGTCAAGTCACTAGTCGACTAGTGGCTTACATCCCTACTCCCCTTATTGACTAATCATGTCGTTGACAAATTTTATTGGCTACACAATTGGTGAAATACTTGTTTTTTAACATCCCTAGTGGAGAGTGGTTTCTGAGTACGCCAGCACCTCTTCTCCCTTGGGTTTAAGGGTCCACCAATGGCTATTAGCCAGGATGGGTAGGAGTGGTGTCTCTAGCCTCTCTTTGTTTGTCAGAAGCTAGGAATGGGCAACACAAGATGGATCATTTGATTGCCTGTTCTGTTCATTCCCTCTGAAGCACCAGTGTTGTACCAATAAAAGCAAGCAGGATCTTATGAGGGGGATAAGGCAAAAGCCACATTTATTGTAAAGATAATAATAAAAAAAATAAAAGATAGAAGCAAACAACGTTGTTTAACTACTTAACCCTTATACATATAAACATTCATTCACCCATTCATTCAGGTTCTGTGTATTTGTTATAGTTACCAGCCTGGAAGTTGCTTGAGACAGAATACTGGCCAGGTATTCTGTACACAAGTGATGGTAGTGGGGAGCGAAGTCCTGATCAGATGCGCATCTGAAGCTCCTGGTGGGCTGGCAGCAGAACCTTGGACTCTGATTCCATAGTTTTTTAGTCCAGTTCTTATAGGAATTTCTTCCTATGCCAGTCTATGGAAATTGCTGCATCATGCTGATGTCTCCAGGGTGGCTGCCAGGTGCTCATCAGTGATCTCATCGGGTGGACCTCCAGTTTCTCCACTTGACACCTTTTGGTTGCACTGGCACCTGACGCCTTCTTCAGCCCTTTGTTGCTGTATTCTCAGGCTGGCACCTCTCAGAACCATTCACTCATCATCCAAGCACTCTCTCATACATTCATACAGTATTTTGTATAATAATAAAAGTTGTAGTTACAGAAAGTTTCTGGGTGGTATTGCTTAAAACATTCTCTGAGTGCTGAATAAAGTTACAATGTTTTAAAGAGAACAGGCCTCAATTAAGTAACAATGCCCTTAAGTCAATTACAGGGCTTGGCTCCCATAGCAGAGTTAGTGGCTTGACAATGCATTGTTACAATGTATCTCTGCAATGTCAATTTCAAGCAGCCCCTTGCACAAGCTTGAGCATGCCCTGGAGCACAGAGGGGGGGAGGGGGCTGTTTCTGGCTACATAGGATTATATTCTTAACAGTTAGGATTATATTTTTAACAGTTCTAAGTTACATGACCTAATACATTATATTCTAAAGGGACAATAATAATCATAAATCTAAACATTTAACAATCTTAACAAATAATAATAATAAGAAGAAGAATCCTAATAAATCTAAACACTTTAAGTTGTGGGGAACAAATTATGGGGAGTCACTTCCATTTGGAGGAATCATTTTCAATACATTAATATGTTATCCCAATTTTCAATACGTTAATATATTATCCCTACACCAGGCATTGGCCACTGTCAGTAGACACAATACTGGGCTAGATGGATCTTTGGTCCAACCCAGTATGGCCATTCTTATGTTCTTATATTGAATGATGCTTTTACAAAATATATGAAAGCCATGATTTAACAGTAAAACTATACTGTTTAACCAAAATAATGATTCCTTGGGAAGGCTTTGTACCCAAGCTTTCAATGCTCTTTTTCCTTCTTTTTTCCAACAGTTAAAGGAGAACATTGAGCAGTTCTTCACCAAATTTGTGGAGGAAGGGAAAGCTACTGTTCGCTTGAAGGAACCTGCAGTAGATGTCTGTCTTAGCAAGGTAGAAGATGGATAATGGCTAGCTTTCTGTCTGGTTTTCTTTTATGTGGGTGGTCACTGGGAGCCTCCCCCCTTCTTCTGTGCTGTTGAATGTTGCTCTTCGTGTAACTAGTAAATACCTGTCAAGCACTGGAAAAGTTGACACACAAAATCTCCTTGAGGTGTTTGTTTACCTGACATGTATTCCGCTTTTGATTCATTCCCAGTCCTTAGTGAGGCACAGTGTGAGAACTGGAACCCCTGTGTGTAAATTCATGGCACTGGCACTAGACTAGCCTTAGCAAGATTTCCACAGCTAAGTGTTCCATTATCTATGTGCCTGTGAATGTTTGTGTGCATGGCTTCAAATGCTTGTTCTCCAAACCATGCAGATCACCCAGGAATACTTTCTAATCCAGATATTTGAAGTCTACAGTATAGAAATAAAACCATTATACTGATGCCAGGGCACTGGCACATGAATTACTTAGGAAAGTTAGATGTCTTCAAGTCACCAGAACCTGATGAACTGCATCCTAGAATGCTCAAGGAGCTGGTAAAGTAGGTATCTGCGACATTCGCTATCATCCTTGAAAAGTCATGGAAGATGGGAGAGATTCCAGGAGCCTGGAAAAAGGTAGATATAGTGCCCATCTATACAAAGGGAAATAAGGACACCCCAGGAAACTACAGGCCATTCATCTTAACTTTTGTGCTAGGAAAGATAATGGAGCAAATAATTAAGGAATCAATCTGCAAACATCTAGAAGATAATAAGGTGAAAGGCAGGGCTTGACAATTAGGGCAATCTACTCACCCGTGGCGAGTAGATTTTAGCTCATCACGGCACCGCAGTACAATCAGCGCATGTGCAGTCCAGTCTGCGCATGTGCAGCGTGCCAAACTGCGTGGCTGGTGAGAGGGGCTCACCACCACTTGTCAAGCCCTGGTGATAGCTTTCCTTCATAGTATATCAATCCTTGTGGATAAAGGGGAAGTGGTAGACATAGTATAGCTATACTTCAGTAAAGCAATTGATACAACCTCACGTGACCATCTTATCTATAAACTAGGGAAATACAACCTACACGGGGCTTCTATCAGGTGGGTGCATAACTGGTTGGATACCATTCTCAGAGAGTAGTCATCGGTGACTTGTGGTCATGCTGGAAGGGCACAACAAGTGGGGTTCCACAGAGATCCGTTTTGGGATAATAGCATAGAGTATGCTTTTAAAGTTTTCAGGTGATACCAAACTGAGAGGGGTTTCAAGTGATTTAGAAGACTGAGTTGTAATTCAAAATGATCTGGGCAAACTGGAGAAATGGTCTGAGGTAAATAGGATAAAGTTCAATAAGGATAAATGCAAAGTGGTCTTCTCTAAGGGGAGTAATTATTTCCACACATACAAAATGGGAAGTGACTGTCTAGGAAGGAGTACTGCTGAAAGGGATCTAGGGGTCATTGTGCACCACAAGCTAAATATGATTCAACACTGTGATGCTGTTGCAAAAAGAGCAAACATTCTGGGATGCATTGGGAATGTCAGCATGTATTCATTTACATGATTAACTGATAACCTTAATCTTGGTTAATCTTATCGACTACATGCACCTTCTCTCTCTTTTTCCCTTCCACCCCCCCTCCCAACTGCGCCTTGCTGCCTCTGTATCAGAGACAGCTGGGGTGGGAGCCGGTGAGGAGCTGACTTTTTTTAAACTGGCTCCTGTGGAGCCACCTGCCTCCTCTCCTGCCCCACTCTTCTCTCTCCCCCCACCTCCTCCCACAAGCAGGTTAGATAAATATCTATCAGGATGACTTAGATGATGCTCGGTCCTGCCATGAGAGCATGTAACTGGACTTGATGACCTCTCAAGGTCCCTTACAGTTGTAGTATTCTGTGTCACTTAGGCTACGTCTAGACCGGCATGATTTTCCAGAAATGCTTTTAACGGAAACGTTTTCTGTTAAAAGCATTTTCGGAAAAGAGCATCTAGATTGGCACGGACGCTTTTCCGCAAAAGCACTTTTTGTGGAAAAGCGTCTGTGCCAATCTAGCCGGGCTTTTCCGCAAAATAGCCCCGATCGCCACTTTTGCGATCGGGGCTTTTTTGCGGAAAACAAATCTGAGCTGTCTACACTGGCCTTTTTGCGCAAAAGGACTTTTGCCCGAACGGGAGCAACATAGTATTTCCGCAAGAACACTGACAATCTTACATGAGATCGTCAGTGCTTTTGTGGAAATTCAAACAGCCAGTGTAGACAGCTGGCAAGTTTTTCCGGAAAAGCGGCTGATTTTCCAGAAAAACTGGACAGTCTAGACACAGCCATAGAGTATAAATGCTTAAGCCAGGGAACTTTGACAGGACATCATTGGCTTCTCTATCTGCAGTTACATAAGGCCTCTCTTTATTCGGAGTGATTGAGAAGTCACAGGCAAATACCCAAGTAATTTCATCTAATATTTTAAGGGAAAAGTTAAGTTATTAGAGTTAGATCTTAGCAGTTTGGGCCTAAGTTATTTTGTAGGTCCACAAACTTAACTAGGCACTACGGAATACCCTTTGGAGATGTGATCCATGAGATGATTCATCAATACAGTTGAGTTGTTTTAAGGAATGTAATGAGTAACCAGCATATGTGGGCGGGGAGGGGAAGAGAGGGATTCCACTTAGTAAGTATATATAAAAATGGAGAGGCATCTTTGGTTATCCCCTTATTTTTGTGGAAAAAGCTGATCCCTGCTGTCTTTGCTTTGATAGGCTAACTTTCTTTGCTTTGTTTTTCCATATCCCCATTGTTCTCTCTGCCACTCAGTTTCCACTTTTGTCTAGCATTTTCTTTTATTTGAGAAAGAAGCATTCTTATTGTCTCATTTTTCATATAGCCAGTCCTTTTACCCCTCCCATATTGTGTTGTCCTTTTTCCAAAATAAATTACTACACGGATTTCCCTTGCAATATTTCAGTAATTGTAATAATATACCAATAGTGTACTGTTCAAATGATTATTCAGCTTGTGTTGCAAAATTAGAGCTCTCTGTTAATGTACCAGCAATATGATTGCTGCCTGTCTACTTACCTGATACCTACTGCTAGAGCAAAGGAAATTTTTTCTGTAAGTTCTGTGTATAGTCAAAACAAATCCCCAAAGATCAAGAGGACAATTTTTTATTCTTGCATTCAGGTTTGATTTGCCCCCTTTGCCACTGAATGGGGAAGTTAATTGGCATTAGATATTTGTAGGCAGTCAAACTGTTAGCAGTGCAATAAGCATTATGGGCCAAATAAACCTATCTTAATCAAATATGGCTTATTTGTACTATGGTCTTTTAGCTAAGATGAGGTGCCCTTTTGGGCCGACCTTGTGGCATGATCTTGAGGTGTGTAAACATTTGCTCCAAATGCAGCACTTGCTTAAGGGGTGGTAGTCTGTGAGTAACCCCTTAGCGTCATGTCGCCCATATCAGGTGTTCTGATGCACGGGTCTTCTCACCCTGAGGGTGAAAGGCAGATCCTGCCCAGCAGCTCCACATGTGTTCTTTTACAAATAATAGTACCTAGAGGCCCCCAGGATCAGGGCCCCATTGTGTTGTGCACTTTACACACATTGTAAGAGACAGTCCCCCATAGTGGAGCAGACAACCTACCAGGCCCCTGGGCAAGGTGGGGAGGTGGACCTGGTCTGTGCTTCTGCAGGGGGCAGGGCCTCAGGCAGACATGGCGGGACTGGGGTCAGCCAGCCCTCAGCACTGCCCTTACTGCAACAAGGCCCTCAGTAGTGCCCGGAGCAGCAACTTAAAGGGCCTGGAGTTCTGGTTGCTGTGGCAGCAGCATTGTCTGAGAGCCCCAGGCTCTTTTGCATCGCTGGGCCCCAGGGCAGTTGCTCCCTTTGTGCCTGCCTTCGCCTCCATTGGCAAGCCTGGTACCCTGCTGTGTAGAACTTACAAATTAAACAGACAGTGAGTGGAAGAGAGGAATTATTATGATCCTCCATTTTACAGATGAAGAATTGAAGCATATAGAGTGAAGCCAGGTCTATACTAGGCCTGGAAGGTCGGGTTAAGGTACACAGCTCTAGCTACATAAAATACGTAGCTGAAGTTTGCTTACCTTAACCCAAGCTTGGCATGGTCTTCCCAGAGGACACCGATGGGAGCAAATGCTCCCATCGACTTCCCATACTTCTTGCAAATGCCAGAGGTACTGGTACTGGATAGAACTACCTTCAGCATTCAATTTAGCGGGTCTTAACTAGACCCTCTAAATCAAACACCAAAAGATAATCTCCAGCACGGAAGATATAGGTGTTGCCTGAGTTAGTTACTTAAGGTTGCAAATTGTCTGGGTAGTACAGATCTCCCAAGTCTCCACACAGTCCTGAAGCACAAGACTTTTCTTCCTTTCCTGCTTTGAGAGAGAAGTATGTGTTGTCTGTGAGACCACCTCATCATCTGCTTCCTTTTTGTTTGTTTTTGAAGCGCAAAACAGGTTATTCTGGTCATTTACTGCATGCCGGTACCAGGAAATCTTTTCTATGAGCCATAGTTTGTATTAGATATGTATTGGGAACTTCTCAAATGCCTCCGCTTTTTTGAGTGATGCTATGCTACTTAACCTCAACTGTACCACTTCAGGCCTCCTTTAAATCTATTAAAGGAATGTTGAGTAAATATTTAACATAAAAGTAATCTGGTAGTCCTCAACACTGTTCGGCTATGTCTACACTGGCAGCTTCATGTGCAAGAACAGCCGTTCTTTGGCAAAAACTTGCCTGCTGTCTACACTGCACAAGCGTTCTTGTGCAAGTAAATTTACAGTATAGCATTATAAAAGAGGGCTTCTTCCAGAAGAGTTATTCCTCTCCCCACGAGGAATAAGCCCTCTTGCGCAAGAGCTCTTCCACAAGAGGGCAGTGTAGACAGGCAACATGAATTTCTTGCGCAAGAAGCCCCTATGATTAAAATGGCCATCAGAGCTTTCTTGCGCAAGAGAGCGCCCACGCTGCCATGGATGCTCTTACGCAAAAGCACATGCCAGTGTGGATGCGCTCTTGTGGAAGATTTTTTTGCATAAGAACTCTTCTTTAAAAGAGTTCTTGCGCAAGAAGCCGCCAGTGTAGACGTAGCCTTCATGTTCTATTTCAGTGATGCTATCACTTGTTGCACCCAGCCTACGACAAGGTTGGTGTTTTTCTCAGAAAAGTAAGGAGTCTTCCTGGCTTTACCAGAAGCTTCCTTTGTGCCTGTGGGCAACCAGTTAACCTCTCTGCATCAGAACACCTGAAGTTGCCCTACAGGTGCTAAACCAGTTAGTCCAGCATTTCCACTGTGCCTCAGACTCTGCCACCCACACTCAGTTTTTTTTTTTTTTTTCTGCCTTGGGGCATCAGTAACACTGTAGCCTTAAAGCTTTGTCTCCCCTTCCTCCCATGGGTGTAGTCTGTAGAAATAGTCATGTTAACTGGTTCCAGCTATGCCGTGCATCCCTTCTTGTCCAATCCTTATTCCAGGCTTGCTTCTCTGCTTCAGACTCTTGCACTTTGTTCTTTTTGTGAGCTATGTACTGCCTTTTGTTTGCTCTGTCTGATTAGGAGAGGTTGTAACTTCCCTAACTAAATTATTTATTGCTTGTACTTAAATACAATTACTAGAGAATTCTAAACTAGCCTGACCTAGGTCTCTTTCCCCCTATCCATTTTCCTCCTATCCATTTTCATTACCCTGCTGACTCAGGTCACTTGACACACTCTCCTGTACAAAAGAGTTCAGAAAGCACTAGCACAAGTAGAGGAGGTGTGAGAGGGAAATGTTCAGAGTTATTCTGTTTTTTGCTTTTGTAGGCAAATGCCAGCAATTTAAAGAGCTTCCTTGCAGCAGTGAGGCTGGCTGACCGAGGCACCGATGTTGAAGCGCTGCCTCTTTCAGTCTTGGTACCAGCAAAGACGTCGGAAGTTGAGAAACCGAAATCTAAGATGATCATTACATCAAAAAGAGACTATCCGCTAACCAAAAATTTCCCTTACTCCCTTGAACATCTGCAAGCCTCATACTGCAAACTCGCTCGAGTCGACATGCGAATGCTGTGTCTGAAAAAACTCCGAAAACTGGACTTAAGCCACAATCATATAAAAAAACTGCCAGAAACTATCGGCGACCTTGTTAGCCTTCAGGAGCTGAATCTGCACAACAATCACTTAGAGTCCTTCTGTGTCGCTCTGTGCAACTCTACGCTTCAGAAGTCTCTACAGTTTTTGGACCTCAGCCAAAATAAAATCAAAGCACTTCCAGTTCAATTTTGTCAACTGCAAGAACTCATTCACTTAAAGCTGGATGATAATGAGTTGATTAGGTTGCCATTCAAGATAGGCCAGCTAAGTCAACTACGCTTCCTGTCAGCAGCCCGTAATAAGCTTCCTTTTTTGCCCAATGACTTCAGAAATCTCTCTCTTGAGAAGTTAGATCTCTTTGGAAACCCTTTTGAACAGCCTCATCCTCTTGTTCCCAGCATACAGCTAAAAATACCGTTAACTTTATTAGAATCTGCTGCAAGAGCAACAGTAAACTACAGGTAAGAACCGACTGATCGGACTATAGCTTTGAAAAAGAACGAGAAACAAGTTGGCAAGTATTTAACCTTCTAACATATGCAGTTGCAGTAAATTACAGGGTAACAGAAAAATCCTTTAAATTCAATGTAAGTCCATTTCTTGAAGGCTCTTTGTAATATTTGTGAGAATCTCTGAGATTTGTTTTAACTGTAATTTGAAGCTTTGAAAGGGAGGTCAGTGAAACCTGTAGATTGAAATTAGTTATCCACAGAACAGGTATAGTCAGGGTTCGCCAAGCAGTGGCAAGCCCCGCTTGCCAGCTGCACGGTTCTGCACTCTGCACCGGCTCTTCCAGGTTGTAATCTACTCGCCACAGGCAAGATTACATTATTTGTCGAGCCCTGGGTATAGTTCCAGTAATGAACCTCTGCTCTTTCACACGCTATGAGAACGTACCAGTTTCCATGAATGTTGGTCTCTTCTGAAACTACTTGTGCAGGATTCCTATTTGTCATGTGGGTATATCCACTGTGGCTTGAGGTTGCTTTCAGGCATAATTGCCGCTCAGATCGTGTTCACACACCTGTGTTGGAAACCATGCAAAATATTTGTTCGTTAGTGGGTAGCTATTTCCTGCTACTACACTTGTTTTTTTGAAAAGGAAAAGAAACTCCTACACACTGAAACAGCCAGCTGCAATAGTGTATGTATGTTGTTCTGCTCTTGGTGTGCAGAGGGCCTTAGAGAAGATCTGAGCAGCTTTGGAAAGATTTGGGATAAATGAGCTGACTGCTTAGAAGGGAAGTATTGAGCTGTAGCTACGTCATTCCTATTGAGATCTCTCTCTACCTTACCAGTGGCTTTCTTGAGCCACTGCAGCATCAGGATTGCTAACTAGCCTTGAGGCTTAGGGTGTGGCTCAAACAACAAAATAATGGGGGGGGGGGGGGGGGGCACTTTTA